GCTATAAAGATCTATAAGTATACAAATTGATTGTTCTTTGAATATATGAATTTTGGGATAAAAACTTTTTGAATGAAAAAAAAAAATTTGTATCTATTAAAAATAAGTTTATCATGCCCTAACATTTGACATATATGGATGATCCAAAAATAGTAATAAAAAAAAAAGATTTTTCGCTTTTAAATCCCTGGAGAAAAGTACGAAAATCGATTATTATGAAGATTAATTTTTATTTCATTTTGTTCCTTATGAATTTAGATTCTGTAGAGCCGGGTATGATTAGAGTATGGAGCTCTATTAGATTCAATATATGCTCACTATTTTTGCATATCCGCCTACTCGAAAACGGAAAATTCTTTGTTAATTCAAGAAGTATTTATCACGAAACTCATTTACTACTCTTCCCTATGGGATAAAAAAATAGTCCTTTTTTAAGTATTCACCAGTCGATTGGAATATGCTGTAAACTAATTCAGAGGATAAATAATTTGTACACTTACAGAATTTAGTCATGCACAGTTTCTAAGAAAATTCTACGATTACTCGTTTTTGCCTTCGAGAGTGCAATATCGAACAATTAAAAACATAATGAAAACTAAAAAGTACCGAACCTAATAAAAATGCTAAGATTTTGAGTAGAGTATTAGAGATACATTGATTTGGAGACGTAATGAATCCTAATATTTGGCTATATCATTCATAATCCGATAAAAATAAAGATTCTTCGTCCTATCCAATAGGATTGTTTCGATACTTACTTGATGTATTAATAACAGTTGAATTATTTTCTCTCATAAGTAATGTTTCAGTAATTGTTGTATTATCAGTAACAGTAATCGAATCATTTTTAAGTATTTGAGAAAAATGTCTTTGAATTGTATCTTGTACACTTAATTGTTTTTGAAGTTTATTTGATGATAATATTTGTTGGTCATCAGTAGTTTGTGGTGTAAGATTAGCAATAATTTTACTTGAATTTTTTCGTTGTTCATATGTACCATCACGTACTAAAATAATAATTTTTTTTTTTTTGTTTTAAATTTTTTAGAATAAAAAAAAAATTTTGTTTTTTTGTCACTCAGTACTTCTTAGCATTAATATCCTCTCATGAAATATCGAGAGATTATTTAAATTTATCATCATAGTGACAATTTTTATGATATATATATATATACTTACTAAATGATGATGTTTGTTGATCGACACCGAATACTTTTTGTTGAATATTTACTTGTTGAGTATGATTATTATTTGTATATGTTGTTCTTCGACGTCTTGATTGTTGATGATAAATATGATGATGTAAATTTCCTTGTTCATGATGTTTTATATATTCGTTAGCATTATCTGAATCACCATTTGATGATGAATATACACCACATTCTTGATTTATCCAACGGCGTAGATCTCTGAAACATAGATTCGAACCATAGACCAATGAAATACAAATGTTTTATCCGATTGAATTAAAACAACTTCAATTTCTTACTTGATAAATGGTATAACCATAAAGAAAGCTTTTGGAGTAATATTTAATTGTATTTGAGATATTGTATCATGTCTATGACATGGTAAATCAGCTATAGGAAACCAACGCATTTCCTAATAAAAACAAGATAGATTTTTATTTTATTATTTTCAATAGTAGATTTAAAATAAATGCGAAAACATCGGATGTAAATCCGAGTGTTATGTGTACTTCAAAAAAGTGAAAAGGTATATTCACTTTGTTTTTTATCATCTGAGATATATCTAGACTATTTGCTTTCTTCATGTAGTTTTTCTGCATTTTGAGACCTTTTTTGGGGGATGTTTTGTTAGAAAGCTACGATTTGGTTCAAAACTAATATCAGATTCGGAATCAGCGTTAAAAACTGAGTCGATTTATATATATTGCGAATAATTCGGAGAAAAAAATTTTTTTTTAAAAAAATCCCTGTACCCCCCTTCAGGGATGGTCTTCTCAATAATGACAATTTTTTCGATAACTCAGTCATTTCTTGACAGATCAGGCTCATCTTCGACCTCGACCGAGACATTGTTAAGACAGAACTGTGTAGAAAATTTCATCGTGGTCGGACTCTCCTTTCGAAAGTTATCGTGTATACGGCCGGACGGACATACTGACCGATTCTAGAGTGTGCTCAATTTTTTGAGTACACAAAAAATGTTTATTATGTTTAATTTCACTACGCGGCAGATGTTCAATATTGAGTTGATTAAATGTGATATAGAAAAGGATTGATTTTGTTTGAAATTGATTCCTTCGAGAAATTTGAATTCTTATTATGTCAAACAATCACACAAGATACGCAACAATTAGTCATGTATTACTTATTTATGCTTTGTACTAGAGTCCTTCGGGTTCAGGTTCGAAATTTTTTGAACCCAACTTTTGATGATAATCAGCACTTTTCAAGCGCTACAAAAACATCGAAGAAAAATACTTGTTATACCTGTTCTTAGGACAGGATTTTAAGTTTCATTAGGATTTCTTAGCAATTGTATCACAGACAAGTCTTATTAGATATTTTAATCTTTTAGATAAATTAATCATCTGAAAATGAAAGTGTTCGACATAGTTCAATTTTTTTTTAGATTAAAAGTAAAAACAACGAAATTATTATCTTATCTAGAATTATTGTTTTGTCTTATGTGAAGTTCAACTTGAGATTTGATTCGATCAGAATCGGACTCTGGTATATTATTACAAAACAGTAGACGTTTTTTTCTTTTTTAAACTAGAATTTCAAACATCGCCTATGAAATCATATATAAAATGTATTCTAGTGGAATAGTTGAACGATAAAAAGATAATTTTATTTGACAAAAAGAAATTTATCTAGTGATAAATCAATTTTGACATACGTCTTACCATGTTAAATATGCTCTATTGAAACTAGAGAAAACTTAAAATAATCTATATATCCATCGAATCTTGATGAACATTTTAGTAAAATTTCTTCATGGGACTAGTTCATTATGAAAGTATCAGATTGTATAATATCTCTTATCTTCAGAAATTTTTTGTATTTCGTAGTTTATTAGAATCAAAATATTGTGTTCTTTCAGAATATAACCTTAGTGTTTTTCCCAATAAATTTTGAGCTAAAAGTTCATCTTGAAAAAACTCGAAAAATAATTTATTTTGGTACACTTTTAAGATACCCTTAAAAGTTTTTATAAAGTCTATCGCAAGAAAAATGATTATTTTTTTTCCGTTTGTCGTATTTTCAGTGCAAAACGATACTCCGTCACAACTCAACATTTACTTATAAATCAATAGTTAAACGTCACAGAAAAAAATCTAAGCATATATTCTGATTCTACTATAATATTAATATGAAATATTTTGTCTAGAAATTTCCTGAACATCCCTTATATCTCACGAGAAAACTATTTCAAGTGATAAATCATTTTCGAGTCTTATACATAAAAAGTCTAGAATAATTCGGGTTTTCGAACCATCGCTCTCAAGATGGGTTTTTCGACAAAAAAAATTGTAGTTATGTGAAAAATCGATTTATAATTTCAAACTTTGTATGAACAAAGTACTTAACAATATTAGTTCATTGAACAAATTAAAACATTTCTAGTATATCCTATCTTGAGATATTCAATTCATATTCTTACATCTAATACTAGTTACACAATGAATTCCTGTAAAGTTTGAAGTCAAAACTCATCTCGGGAGTGAAGACTCCAAAAAACCAAAATATTCTAGACTTTTCTATTTGCTGGTACATATTTTGTAATAACCTGAAATTTTACTATTCTCTGGAGAAAATGTCTAAGGTTAAGTATCCTATCGAGAATTTTTCATATATTCTAGAATCTATCTTATGCATAGAATCCGAACTAGAAAATGATTTCCTTCTTAGGATAGAAGGTACGAAAAAGTTTGACACTTAATGAATAGATATTTTATTTCTAAATAAAAAAAAAAATTATTTTTATACTTTAATTTCATTTTTTGTTTTTGGTGCAAATTTTGTATCAAGTGGTACTTGTTTAACAATATATAATCGAATAAGTTGTCCATTAAGATCACGTTCTAAATATTGATCGTCAAAAGCACGTTCTTTCATATCAAAACCAACTTCTTCCATAACCTAAAAAACAAAAACATTTTTCTCATAAATAAAATTTAACAAAAAAAACAGTATTACTTCTCGTATGGCACATTTTAATGGACTTTCATTTTCTTGAACTTTTCCTTTTGGAAATCCCCAACTTTCACGATTATAAAATCCTCGTACAAGTAATATATGTTCATATGTTGGATCAATTAAAACTGCACCATATGTTGGTACACTTAATTTATATCCACGCCATCGAGATAAAATACTATCAAGATTATGAACATAATCACGAAGAAATGGACAATGTTGAAAAACTGTTTATTTAGAATAACAACAATAAATAACTATATATAGAATTCAATTATGTTTACTTTGTTGAGCAAATTCTCTAATATTACATATATATAAATCATCGTCATCTTCACAATAGAAATCAATATAAAACCAATGTGCTAATTCAACGGCAAATAATACTCGAACGAGATCATCACGTTGTTCGGCTGGGATATTAATAATAAAACGACTAGACAACAACAACAAAAAAAAAAATACCCAGACATTTGTTTTTTTCTTCTTATATATATATATATATTCATAGGTGAAAATTTAATACCTGCATAAATCGTCTAATACTTTTGCTGGTATTTGTTGCTGATCAGATGGCATAATAAATTTGTTAATAAAAAAAAAACAAAGAAAAGGGACAGATGGAACAAAAAAGAAAAGAGAGAGAGAGAAGGATTTGGGAGTTGAGTTCTTTTTTTTACATCGAAGTTGACAGACACATTTTCATATGATCATGTTCCTCTCTATTCACATTGGAGCAAAATATAAACATGTTGGTAAAATATGGATAAGAATCATAGGACAACTTGATGTTTATTTATTTTATTTTATTTTAAATAAAATCATTTTATAATGCCATTAAAAGGAATTCCTCATTTAATTTCACCTGAATTACTATATGCATTAGCATCAATGGGTCATGGAGATGAAATCGTTCTAGCGGATTCAAATTTTCCATCTGAATCAATAGCGCGAGCTAATGGCGCTCGTTTGATTTTATGTGATGGTTTACCAATGCCAAAATTACTTCGACACATATTAAAACTATTTCCATTAGATCAATATGTTGCTGAACCAGTTGCATTAATGGATCTTGTTGATGATGATAAAAACAAAGGTTTAGACGTACCTATATGGAACGAATATAAACAAATTGTTGGGAATAATATTCAATTTGAAATGGTTGAGCGTTTTAAATTTTATGAAAGAGCTAAAAAATGTTTTGCTGTTGTTCGTATGTATTTATTAAATATTATTTGAAATATTATTTTTTTAAGAAAATTCATTTCAACATCGAAATATTTTTTAATAAGATGAACATTTACAAGATTTTTCTTTTTCTCAACAAAAATTTTCCAAGCTTGATAAAGTTCTGAAATGATCGAGTATTTCCTTTTAAATATTTCTTTCACTTCATTGTTTAACTTTACATTCCACATTCATAATTCTTATATCTAATGTCTGCTGTTATTGGTATACGATCTTCTGATATTAATCTAAACACTATTACGAATAGCGTAGAATAACGAAGAATTTGAGTTTTTTTTTTGGTACAATTATGGAATAATAATAAAAATGATTTCTATTGATTTGAGTGATTTAATTAAAATCATAACAATAATACTGAAGAAATTAGTAGAGCTAGATGAGTGCAAACTTATCTAAAACATAAAAAAAAACAAGAATAACTGTTTGAAAGGATATAAATACATTCTGAGTACCATCTAGAGTACGAGAAAGATTTACATTCTTTCGAGTACTTTGTTTTCCTGTAAGAGATGTAATGAATTTAGAACAAATAAAAACCATTTGACATCAAACCCTGTTCTCTATCATATGAATTCAGAATATATTTTTATTTGTATCTATTTTTGTTTTATGTAGGTACGGGTGAAGGTGCAATATATGCAAATATTATTTTGAAAAAAGGTGTTGTTGTGGCTAAGAAAGAATCAAAAAATGAAAACGAACATACGGCTGAATAATTGATCTACATTGCTATTGATGATGAATATTAACAATATTTCTTTTTTTCCTAATTTGAAATGTGATTTTTATGAACAAAACTCTTCTTTTTTTTTTTAAATCAATAAAAAAAAAAACAGCTAGTTGTAGAGTAAACAAAAGAAAATATTTCCTTTTTCAGATCAAATTTTTTTCCAAACAAATAAATATATGATATAGTGTTATCCAAAATTGTATTGTTTTTTTTTTACAGCAATGATTAATTCGTAAGCTAATGGTTATTTTAGTCACTAATATAAGTGAATTATCTGCATCAATTCATTTTAGATCTCCATCCATTAATAGTCTTTTGTCAAATTTAAAATCAATTATTGAATTAGTAATCAAACTCCCAGGTGATTCATTAATAATACAATATGGTGCAATAGAACGCATTCGATCAGCTATATTTTCAATTCTAGTACATGGTCTTAAACAGGTGTGTTTATCTTTTTAATGAGAAAAGAATTGACGAAAGAACGTTTTCAATTCATCTTCTTACTCAAAACTATCATTTTCGATCATCGATTATGCTGATTTTTCGGACGAACAAACATTTTGTTAATATCATTTTTGATCTACTCAGAGTATAGAGCGTATCGAGTTGTCTATAATTCAATAATCTGTTCTTTTCTTCAAAGAAAAAAAAAAAGTTTCGAATAAAATATAATCCCTTTGAAGATGTTTCACAACAAAAGTTACACTTTCATAGGTAATTCAATATATTTCCTCATGTGAAGAGATCAAAAAAAGGAATTTGACGAAAATTTTATGAGTTGAGAAATTTTATTGTTTCAGTTTTGAAATAATGAAAAACTAACATCACAAGCTACTTTCTCAGACCTTCCGAAATAATAGAAAAGGTCTCGAATTTTTTCCGAGTTGTTGTATTTTATTAAATTCGAACTTTTAGAAGTTTCATTATAACTTTTACATTAACTCTTTCCAGATATTAATGCACTTTCATTGTGTTTATGTAATCATTATATAGTATAGAGCTTTGCGACTACTAACAATACATGCTTTCTTAAATCTAAAAGCCTTTTCGAACAAAATTGAACATTTAAGAAGCAATCTTTTCACATTACTCTAATGTGTTAAAAGAAATTACATTCAGCCGTAAATAATAAGTTCTAGCAGTTCAATACGAGTATAAATGAGTTTGAAGAAGTGAAAAAAACATCATGTCACTATCTATTTTTCCATAAAATGTTAATAGAGCAACACATTTTTCAATAAAAAGAGTCAATATAGGTATTTAAACATCAAATACCTATTTTCCGAATCTTGAACACGATATAATAATAAAAACTAAATATTTTGTTTCCATTTCATATTTGACGAGAATTCCTCTCCAGGTTTTAAATGGCTTTTCGACTGAAACAATTTTCATTTGATGAGTAATTGGTTCTTAAGATATCGAAATTTTACTGGGTTTTTCAAGAAAAAACTATGCTTCCTTCAGGTAGAACCCATCAGTTTGGCTTTGAATCGAACTGAGTTCGGATCCGAATCCAAAAGTTTTGTATCCGATGGGGTCACTCTCAAGTCATATGAAAAATCGACTTCAAATTTTGTTCATATATTTATATTTCTAGAAAGAAAGTACTGGTTGCACAATCAACTAATATTATTAAGAGCTTCTTTCCTTTAAAGTTTGAAGTCGAAATTCGAAAGTCAATTTTTCAAGTAACCTCAGAAAGTTTACTACAGCTTTTTGTTGAAAAACTCAGTAAAAATTCTACATCTCAAGAACAAAGACTTAGACAACTGAACCTTCTTAGACTTTAACACTACTCATGATAGCCTATCATGTGAACACTTATGGGTATTCTTTCATGAGTTCGACTTATCCTCCGTAAGAGATTATGGCATTAGAATGTCGGAGTTTTTTGTCCTAAAATAGTATATCATAGGAAAACTAAATTTTGCTATATTTTTGTTTTCGACATACTATTTATTATGTACATACTAATCTCATAAAGTCAAAGGTTTCTTGAGTGTTTGCACAAAAAAAAAATATTTGTGCTAATAAAAACGGAACTATGACCTAAACTTAATATATAACAGTCTGACTACTACTGCTTAGCTGAGATATGTAGAAAAAAATAAAAATTTTTAAATTCTTCACATTTTTAGGTGAACTTGATAAAAATCTATTCATCAAGACGAAATTATATCATAAAAATTACAAAATAATTAATTTAAAACTTATCTTTCAAAATATTATATCTAATATTGAATATACGTAACAAGAATTTCTTAAAATCTGTTATTAAAAATTTGGATTAATAAATTTTTTTTTTTTTTTTTTGTCTTGAATAATATTTTTTATCATTTTTTTCTTTTGTAAATATAAAATTATTCTTTGTTATTAATAATTATTTTAGAATACACAAGATACATATGAACAATTATGGCATTTCATTATTCTTTTAAATTCAAATTCACAAAAATATATTCATTTGTTACAAGATGTTTATCATAAAGAAAATCTTCTAACATCAGTTGAACAATGGATTGATCAATCACTTATAACTGAATGTTTATCTCAACAATTATCTTTTATTGAAAATGATATTGATATACTTGAACAGTATTATTATAGTAAGAAATTTTAATTGAAATTTTTCTTTTTTGTCTTTTGTTTTTATTATTATTATTCTCTGTTGATTTGAATAGACATTGTTATGACGACACTATTTTTTAGAGATATTAACACATCTACGACTAACGTCGACGACCAATATAAGGTCGAAAAATTTTTGTATAATAATGTCTTCGATCAGGAATAAAAAAAAGATATTCGCCCTTACGATATATAAAAAAACCGTTGGCACGTTCATTACGTTGTAAAAAACCATTTTTATTGTTCTTCATAGTATTGTCATTTGAAATTAACCAATGTTGAGTTTTATAATATTTGTTATTGAATGATAATGATGCATTTGTAATTGATATCAATGTACAATAGATGAATATAAAGAATAATAGGAAAAATAGGACACGACTTGTCGACGTTGGATTATTAGTCGTCTTAATGAAGAAGAAGAGCATTGATTGATGTTGAATACTCTTCTCCTTCTATTGTATTTATTATTATACTATTTTTGCTTGTCACTTTGGTTTTTTGTTCTCTTTTTTTTTTCTTCTATTCTATGCAAGAAAAATAAGAAGCAATAAGACAGAGACAATCAAATAGTGAATGTTAGATTTGAAGTGTTATACTTCTTCAATACTCATTATATATATATATATATATATAGACAAATTCATATTGTTATTTATCTTTACAAGATGAAACATTATTTTCGACTGTTCGTGTTTAATTTGTAAAAAGAAAGATTTTAAGTGTAAGAAAAACAATTTCAAAACTAGCAATTAGAGTGGCAGATGTTTAGTAGTTGGCTGCTGTAGTAGATAAAAAGTATTTACCATTTTTCTCCTCTCTTTTTCTCTTTGATCTACCCATGTCAATAAAACGTTTATTGAATGTCTCTAATATTTGTTCTTTCCTAAATGTAGATAAGTAAAGCGTAACCAAGAAAAAAAGAGAAGTCCAACATTAATTTATACATATACTTACAATGATGATGATGCTGATGAAGACGATCAAAATACTGTGAATATCGTTATAAGTAGCATAAAATGAAAAAAATCTTGAATGTAAGAAAAAGAGACAAGCCATCACTAAATAATGCAAAAAAAAATAGCAATGGTAATTCTTCCGTATTCTTCCCTTGAATAAAATAGATGTGAACAAAAAATCTGACAGAATTTCTTTCTCTTATGATTAACTTGTCAAAAGACCATGGGTAACGCGTAGGATGAAAGGACCGTAATGACGATGATGATGGGAACTACATGATTTCAACAATTAAAGAAATCTGTTGATGAATGGTACATATATATATATCTGTATATGATTGATGAGAAAACAGAACATAAGAAGAACTAATGCAATCAAGTATCAGCTGTCAATAGTAATAGAGAAGGAATGAGTCTAATAGAATCGGTGATTTCAATCAAAGATAATAAAGAACTGAGTATGATTACAATTGAATCTAGTCAAAAAAAGAAACTAATGAATAGAAAATCTTATTTTGTGAACGGTCATGATTTTTCAACGTCATTCGGAATATCTTTTTATTGTTATTAAAAAAAAAGATTGTATTATATTGTTTTATGAAAGGATAAAAAAGAAAATCTACCAAATGAATAAACATTAGCCTGTCTCTTGACGTGCTTTTTACTTACTATCTTATATAGCATGCGTTAAAATTTTCTTTCTTTTTTCTGAGCTACTAGATTAATAATATTGTCTTCTCTTAGACAGCTAATCACATACAAAAAAATTCTTTTTTAACTAATACAGAAAAACAGAAAGAATTCTCTACTGTTATTTTTTTTTTTCAGGTCATGCTTTTATTCGAATACCATCTTTTTATCATGCATTTATGATTTGTATACGTACTATAGAATCTAATAATCTATCATTATTGGCTAATATTGATCCAAAATTGGTAAAAACAAAAAGAAAAAAAAAAAGAAAATTCCTCATTTTTATAATAGTCTATTGTTGGATATGATCAAGCACTACCAATATCAACAAATGATGTAGTATATAGATCGCAACCATCTAAAAAACCTTCCTTACTAAGGCAAAATACTACAAGTAAACTATCGTATGATGAAAATCAAGAAAAATTTCGTAAGAGAAAATCAGTTGTTTCTTTTTTTTTTTATTATTTTAAAACTAAATCATTTTTTTGATTAGATTCCATTACTAAACCACGTTTTATTCATCGTCGTATACATAGTGATCCTATATTTCATATTGAAAACATTCCAAAGAAGTATTCTCGTGTTATATCATCACTTTTAATTGATAATACTCAATTAAATCAAAATACAAATTTACCTGATATTTCATATTCTTATGAATATGGATCTAGTTATGATTCATGTGCAGATTTATTCTCATCCATTGAACAATCATTACCAATAGAAACTAATCGTCATTCAATATCAAGTCAAATAACACTTATTGATGAAGAAGAATGTCAATTCAATGATCCAACAAAATCTTCGATTACTTCAGATCTAATAAAAAGTAAATCTATAATTAAATTACTTTAGAATACTCTAGTTTATTGACTTATTCTTATTCGATAAGTTTATTTGTTTGATATTCCTATAGAATCAATTGAATAAATACGAAACAATTCAATAGAATTTTTGCTATTTTTATCATCAAGTGTTCTTCTCGTAGATAAAATTTTTCAGAAGTGTTTCATCTGTCGTGATATAGAACACTTTAGACTGTAGTAATTGTAATCGAAAAATGTTTTAATAAAAAATAGATCTGAGCAAAATGAAATTACAGTAGGAGAAAAGACTCTCACGCCCACATCCTTTTAATTATTAATTTGAAACTACTCAAAAATAATAACAGTTATTTTCTGAATACTTTAGGTACACGTTTACCATATTCATCGTTATTTTGGCCAAGAAAAGGTCAAACATTAGATAATTATATACACGAATGTGATTCTCAGACAAGAACAGATGTTGAAAAGGTAAATGAATTTAATAATATTTGAGAATTATTAAAAAATTTCATTTCTTTTTAATTTAAAGGAAAACGCTCATTTTTACTTTAGTGAAGCAATTATATCAGCTATTGAATTTATTAAATTTAGTGAACAATGTAAGAAATATTTTGAGTCATTCGATCAAAATTTTTTTACATTGAATGATTTTAATTCGACTGGTCAACATCCAAATTCAAAGTAAAAATAATTCATTTCAAATTTTTTATATTGATTTATTTATATTTTATTTAGTTCGGACGATTTATCAGCAGAAGCAATAGGTATTTTCTGTTGTTTTTTTTTGTATATAAGAATTTTCTTATTTAATAAATATTTATTATTAACTTAGCATTAGCTATCATGGAAACATGGAAAAATTATAAAATACCAACAGCTTCCGAATTATTTTGGATGATTCCTCATGATGAAGAAATTCCAGAAGAAGTAAATATTATAATAATAGGAAACGAGTGGGCGTCAATAACTATTGAAATTAATCTCTCTCAAGAAATTTGATTTCTTCTATCCCCAATTAACATACAAGGTGTTCGAACGTGAGGCCTTGTAAAATTAGTTATATAGCAGTTGTTTTCGCTGCGTAGTAGTGTCAATACCTATCACATGTATATTGAATCCGATTGCTGATAATACTGTCAAGGTAATTTTTCGATAAAATTCAATTTTTGATGAAACTCCAAGGCAGATCAATGTTGAATTTTTTCAATGAAAAATAAGATATTGCCGAAAATATTTGAATTACACGTAAGTCCACTGAATTTGACATACTATTTCAAGATATCATATTACTTCTCACCGAAACCTACTAAATATCAGTAACAATAACACTCAAAATCATGTCTTGAGAAGAATCTCGTTCGAATTTCTTAATTGGCCAGTGGTTTTTTTCTTCAATGTTTTTATATCAGTTTGTACAGCTTGAAAAGTGCTGATTATTATCAACAATCGAGTTCAGTATACATGTATGTGATTATTTGATACAGAAGAAATCAAATTTCTCGAGAAAATTAATTTCAACAATTGTTGATTGCCTGATCTATTTTCGAATATTGTCTTTTTCAAGTTACTACCAATACAAAATAATAAGGGATTTGAACAAAGTGATGAACAAATTCCCATTGAAGGTAGTCAAAGAGTAAGTAGATAAATTTTGAGTTTCATATTGAAAATAAGAAAATTTTCATTAAAGATATTGCGTCGTGGTAACAGTCAATGGGCACCACCACGTGAACAACTGATCTTTCATATTCATCATTCAGTGAAGTATGTAGATTTAAAAATAATTAAAACACAAAATATAGAAAGAAAAATTTCTTAAAATTATGCTGGAATATGATGAAAGATCGAAAATGAAGAGAGAAACTCTTGAATCCAGCGTGAGGTTCGTGAAGACGACGTCCTTCCGCAGATCGGGTTGACCTTCCGAACGTTTCTAATTCTTCTATCATTTACTACGTATCTATGTTTTCAAAAATAGATGTTTGCCCTTCCGGAAGAGGCAGCGCTGGAACCGGTCCGGTCGTCCGGTACCGGCCCGGTTTGGAAAATCAACCGGCCCGAACAATACCGGAATTTCACCGGTTGAAAGTTTGAAAAAAATCTGCTTTATTAATCCTATTTTTGGCCATAAA